AACAGTCAACATGGATTCACCAAGGGCAAGTCATGCCTGACCAACCTGACTGCCTTCTATGATGAGATAACTGGCTCTGAGGATATGGGGAAAGCGGTGGACGTGATATATCTTGACTTTAGCAAAGCTTTTGATATGGTCTCCCACAATATTCTTGCCAGCAAGTTAAAAAAGTATGGATTGGATGAACAGACTATAAGGTGGATAGAAAGCTGGCTAGATCATCGGGCTCAAGGGGTAGTGAACAACTGTTCAAAGTCTAGTTGGCAGCCGGTATCAAGCAGAGTGCCCCAGGGGTCTGTCCCTGGGCCGGTTTTGTTCAACATCTTCATTAATGTCCTGGATGATGGGATGGATTGCACCCTCAGCAATTTTGCGGATGGCGCTAACCTGGGGGGAGAAGTAGATAGGCTGGAGGGTAGAGATAGGGTCCAGAGTGACCTAGACAAATTGCAGGATTGGGCCAAAAGAAATCTGATGAGGTTCAACAAGGACAAGTGTAGAGTCCTGCACTTAGGATGGAAGAATCCAATGCACTGCTACGTGCTGGGGACCGACTGGCTAAGCGGCAGTTTTGCAAAAAAAGACTTGGGGATTACAGTGGACAAAAAGCTGGATATGAGTCAGTGTGTTCTTGTTGCCAAGAAGGCTACAGCATATTGGGCTGCATTATAGGAGCATTGCCAGTAGATCAAGGGAAGTGATTATTCCCCTCTATTTGGCACTGGTGAGGCCACATCTGGAGTATTGCATCCAGTTTTGGTCCCCCCACTACAGAAAGGATGTGGACAAATTGGAGAGAGTTCAGTGGAGGTGGATGGCAACAGAAATAATTAGGGGGCTGGGGCACATGATTTATGAGGAGAGGCTGAGGGAACTGGGCTTATTTAATCTGCAGAAGAGAAGAGAGAGGGGGGATTTGATAGCAGCTTTCAACTACCTGAAGGGGTATTCCAAAGAGGATGGAGCTAGGCTGTTCTCAGTGGTACCAGATGACAGAATAAGGAACAATGATCTCAAGTTGCATTGGGGGGAGTCTAGGTTGGATATTAGGAAAAAACTATTTCACTAGGAGGGTGGTGAAGCACTGGAATGGGTTACCTAGGGAGGTAACCCATCTCCATCCTTAGAGATTTTTAAGGCCTGGCTTGACAAAGCCCCTGCTGGGATGATATAAATGGTCCTGCTTTGAGCAGGGGGTTGGACTAGATCTCCTGAGGTCTCTTCCAACCATAATCTTCTATGATTAGTCAAATTTGAACCAGAAATCTACAGGTGGAAGGATCTGTAAAAAATTTTGAGGAAACATTCTGAATGTAAATGTTAAACTCAAATATATTATACAATATCTTCCTTCTTAGGGAGCTATTTTAAAAATGGGAAGTTAATTTTGATTCTATTAAAAGCAGAATTCAGAAAAAATTGACAAGCTCTATAGCAGATTGCGAAACAGGCTGAATTTTTTGAGAAAATGCTTGCAAAAAAAGTTATCCCAATCTTCTCATTTAAATTTCAAGTTTCAATGAAAATTTTTGCTTAAAAACAAAAATTCAGAAAGTTTCAATCAGCTCTGCTTTCTTAGTTTAAATCAGCAACTCTAAGACAAGGAGCAGAAGTTTAGCGGGCTCCAAACAGACGGGAATGGCTTGTACCATCATTTCACCAGGCTAGAAATCTAAGATCCAGGTTTGGCAAGTGGAAATTCAGCAGGAGATGTCAGAGTATGTCAAGATGAGATAAAAATGCAGCTGAATGATGGTGGGGTGGTAACGGTGAAAGGGAGAAAAAAAAAGATAACTTCTATTGGAAGAGTGCATAATAAAAGGACAGCACTGGGACATTGTCAGGGAAGGGAAAAATATTGGCTTCACAATAAGCATTGGATAGAAAAAGGACAGAACCATTTGTAGTGTCATGGCGGAAGGAGGTGGGTAGCTGTAATAGTGTGTGGAGGAAATACAGCCACAAGTGATTACGGGAATGGCAGTAGGTAAAAGTAAGGTTACGCTAGAACAGAGTGCTATTACTTTCTTTTCCTATAGTAGTGAAGTACTCTGGCCATTCCTTTTTGTGAGGACAGAAAGCCAAGCAGCCAGAGTTATCAGGCTGCCAGAGCTTCTTCTAACGCTGCCAGGTCCTGCAGTGTTCTGTTAGCTTGCCAAATCTGCTCTTTACTCAGAAACATATGCAGAGCATTGGAGCAATCTTCAGATCATGACAATTGGAAGACAGCAAAAGTACCACCCTGGTACTCTTTCTGGTTAGTAAAATATGGGGTGAGAAGGAAAAAGAGACAGAGGTACTAACACATGCAGTGAGACTATGTTCAAACAACACTTGTGTTACTGCTGTACCTTGCTAAAGTTGCTCAGTGGATACAGCATCTCCCATCGGTGCTGTCCAGACATACCTCTTTCCTTTTACTGCAAGAGGCACTATACCTAGCCTCAGCAACTTCACTGTGGCAGGTATGTGCAGCAGTAGGAAACAGAATAAGTAGAAAGAGTCATGGACCGTGAAATAAGCCCTTCTCCGTGCTGCTGGGAGGACCCCAGCTGGGGGCTTCTAGCTGCAAGTCCCAGTCAGGCTGGGGAGGGAGGGGGGAAGAGACCAGACCCACCTCCGGGTACCTTTTGGGTTGGGACCCCCACAGTCACAACACTGTGAAATTTCAGATGTAAAACATCTGAAAACCTGAAATTGACCAATTTAAAAACTCTCTGGTCGTGAAATTAATCAAAATGGACCATGAATTTGATAGGGCCCTAGTGATGCAACAGGAGGAGGAGAACAGACACACAAGTATTGAGGACACAAACAAGAAAAGCTAAGGACCAAGATACTGAAAATTGCAAGAAATAAGAAAAAAGGAAAGAGGCAGAAAACTCTCTTGCTGCCTCAACATTGTCTACATCAGATGAAGAGCCAGCAGGCATCTCCCTACTAGGGCTTCACTCCTGGATCCCTTATTAAATGCCTAAGCAGACTCCAAACCCCCTCCCCCAGTTTATAATTAAAAAACAACCCCCTTCAAAAACTAAACAAAACCCCCACCTTCATGTGGGTCTACAGCTCCTGCACAATCTCAACTACACCACTGACAATCTCAGAATTAGTATACTCCTGTCCTGTTCCTTCTTAATTATAACTAAGAAGGGTGGGAGAAGCCCATTTTCTCACTGAATGAGCAGACAGACTCTCGAAGTATAAGCCTATGATGATCTGTGGGCAGACTTCCACACAAACAGATTCTCCTGCTCATAGCCAGTGGCACTATGAATAGTTCTTCACATGTATATTGATAGTCAACCTACCTGAAAGTCCTGATCATCTATTCCAAATCTCTCTCTCAGATTGCGGAATACCATTGGACAATATTCCTTAAATTTGAAATGACTTGGCATGTTTTCTCTGAAATAGAATGCAAAACAGTGAAATTCACATGCATGTTCAAATAAATTACTCAGGACAATAACATCTTAAACTTTTGTACAAAACAGAGATAAAGCAGACTTAAGAGTCCATCTACTCCAACCTCTATCAGGTCTATTTTCTCTCTTTTATAGAAATACACATAGGGCTTGGTAATCAGCTATATAAGAACTGGATGAAGTCCATACATCTAAATTTTGACAAGTCTTCACATCTGGACTCAAAAACAGTGAAATAATTTTCTCTTTGCCCTACTAATGCTCTAAAGAAAAAACCTTAAATTGGATTATACAAGGATTCAACTATGACACCAAAAAAATCAGAGAAACATCAAAGCTTTTATAAAACATGGACTCCTTTAATGATGGATTAGTTTTAAAATCCTATAATTAACCTCACTGTTATACTCAGAAAGAGTAATTGCTACTTCTTCTCTTTGAACTTTGCCACAGATTAGAAGGTACAAAATAATGGAATCATTCCATTTTCTAGAATATTTTTAACCTTCATTTTATCTTTATAAAAGTGCACATGCTATTATTTTGTATCTGAAACACACGACTAACGTACATTGCTGAAAACAAATGCCTGAAGTCATTATTTTGCTAAATCATTCTAATAAATTTCCAACTAATTCCATAGTTTATCATATAACAGAATGGGGTAATACGGTCAACATTTTATATGATTTCAGATCAGGGATTATGAAAAGGTGTACATTCCTTATTTGGCTTTGAAATACTCCCTATCCCACTGTTTATTCTGATTTATAACTTTTTTGTTTCAAACATAAAAAATAACTGTACAAAAATGTATGCATTTAAAATACCTAAACAAAAATTTCCATCATAAACAGAACAATCATTTTCTAGGTACAAGATATTCATGGGTAATAATATACCATATGGCCAAAGAGTACTACCCAGTAGGCCCTGCTGTTGCTTTTTAGAATATAACAGATGGTTATGTTTATCACAGGATTAACTTAATCAACAAAACTTTACTCTCATTCATTGAAAAATAACAGAGTTTATAGAATTTTGTAAAATATCGCTGCCAGGAGCTTTATCCCCCCCCTCTACAAAGGATTGTTACTTGCACTTACTTGTTGAAAAGGTGATTGTCCACCTTTATCTTTGAATATGCTTTGAAATCATCTGGCATCAACATAATAGGGATTTGAACATGGCTCAGTTCATTGATCTAGAGGAGAAGAAAAACAAACATTTAATAACATTTTAACTTTGCTGTCACTTTACAAATATACTCTACACGTGACTTAAAACAAACTAAACATACCCTAAAACTTGTTAAATTTAGGAGAACAAATCCTAAAGCAATTTCAGTTTTTCTGGATGAAAAATTTAATGACATTTTAAAGTTACATGTGTCCAGTTTTAACAGTAAATGTGGCATAGTTACTTTGAATTATTGTTAGAATGACCGATGTCATCAGTTGCCTCTTCAGTAATATCTTTAAAATGTTGTTTTGGTCAGGGGATCAGCTATGATGGAGAGAGTAGGAAAAGCATTCCTGATCTGTATTGTAGTAAGTGCCAAGAACCTCCAAAGTACTCTTGGAAAGTACTTCTTCTCAGGAATGTCAATCAGGATATGAAATCAGAGTAGAAATTGTGTTTAACCATGAAAATGCTGCTCCTGTTTATTGGACAGAACTACTTTTCTACCCCAGATCATTTGTCAAAATTTTGCCACATTTCATACACTAATTACTACTTTCCCTTACAGCCTATGAACTAGTCTCTCTCCCCTCTCCTCTCGGTATGTGCTTGAGTCCTACAACAACAACTGTACTGAAAACAGATGCCTTGATTTAAACATTTCTTCTTACACATCTTCTCACACTCCACCTTTTAAACACCTCAAAGTAAGTATTATTTGCGATGAATATTTTAAGGACTGTTACAGATCCGTTTGAATGGAATTTCTATTATTGTCTGATGGGTGCAGTACTATCATCACCATAGTGGATGAGGAGTTGAAAGAGCTAAGAACACAGATAATGAGATGGCAATAATATTGATTTGAACTGAGGCCATGGCCTAGCGATAGCACAACAAGCTGCCATGGAGGTAACTTGGCCCCCTGCTTCTGGGTTAACAGAGCCTGGAAATGCCATGGAGGTAATGTGCTCAGCTATGGACCTGAAGAGAAGTAGGACAGAGAAGTGCTTTGAGTAGCTTCCTGAAGTCATCTTCAGTCATATCAGGAGTGACAGAGATTGAATAGGTACCATACTAAAAAGTGACCCCCTAAACTCTGAGGACATCCAGGGATCCAGAAAATCTTTAAAAACAAAACAAAAAAACCCACTTGTATTTAGAATTTGCTTTTGTTTCAATGGTAATGGTTCCTTATAGGGCAGCTATAAAATGTAATTGAATGAAAGCCCTTGTTACAATGAAGAATTTCATGGCAATGTATCACATTAAATCAGTGTAATATAATAATTACAATTATTAGGTCTCAGTTCTGTCCTGTACTGAATCTGCCAATGCAGATTTATTAACAATTCTACCAGATTTTATTGTCAGATCTCAGAGGAGCACCCTACTGATGATAGTAATAATAATTCCAAGTAAAAATAAAATGTGTAATATTTTTCACATAAAATCATAGTAATAACGGAACCAGACACATTACCAATGAATAATAGCACTAATGATCTCATTTATGCTTCTTGCACTTTTTAACTGAGAAGACATTCTTTGGTTTTTATGTGGTAGAATCATAGAATACCAGGGTTGGAAGGGACCGCAGGAGGTCATCTGTACAACCCCCTCCTCAAAGCAGGACCAATCCCAAGACAGATTTTTGTCCCAGATCCCTAAATGGCCCCCTCAAGGATTGAACTCACAACCCTGGGTTTGGCAGGCCAATGCTCAAGCCACTAAGCTATCCCTCCCCACTACTGAGCTATCCCTCCCCAATGTGTCTCATTGATACGTCTATTTTTGTCGAAAGTTGTGGTAGAAGGGAAAAGTGCAGAGAAACTAGGGAAAGATAAGATACTTTTCGATACTAGCCCAAACATAGATTAAAAAGAGCAACTGCTTAAAAGAACATTGTTAAGTTAAAAGTATTAGAAACAAAACAAAAAACACAAAAAATTTCTTTGCCCACGTTCCATTTATTATTAAAACAGAATTTTAATCTTTATACATATTTAATTTAGGCTTCAATCCTGCACAAGACATATGTAACTTATGTGATATATGTAATACACCTCTACCCCGATATAACGCGACCCGGTATAACACGAAATCGGATATAGCGCAGTAAAGCAGTACTCCGGCGGGGGCGGGGCTGCGCACTCCGGTGGATCAAAGCAAGTTCAATATAACACGGTTTCACCTATAATGCGGTAAGATTTTTTGGCTCCTGAGGACAGCGTTATATCAAGGTAGAGGTGTATATGTAACTTAGGCCTTGATTAACATGAGGGCAGATACTTGAATCTGCATGGAGCCTCACTAATTTGGGATAAATTGGAGAATTAGGGCCTTACTCTTTTCACTGTCTATCTGGATAACAAAAATAAATTAGTTTCTAGTTAATTTCAAGTTCTGGTTCATGTACAATGCTGCTACGTCTGGGATGCAAACATTGAGGAAGAATGTTTGGGTTATCCTGTTTCCACCGGAATTTTATTTCTTAAATTAACAAACATTTATTCGTCTTAATTTTGGAATATACTGTAAACTTGTTTTAACAAAGCCTAAATTCTGGGGCAAATCTGACTTGACGGTATCCCTTTAAACTAGGGAATGTTTTAGGATTATATTTAAAATTTCAAAAATGACCACTTATGTCACACCTTAAGTTCATTACCAATATTTATGTTAAAAAATAAACGTAATTGTTTTCATACATCAAAAAGAAACTTCACAGGTACTTCACCTCTTTTGAAAACAAACATGTTTTTGTTGTTGTATTTATTAATCTCTTAAATTTTCCAGCATAGTATTTGAACCACAGCTTAACAAACACAATAATTAGCACTGGTTGCTCTCAGTGGACTACAACAAGTTTTAACTTGGTAACATAGTGGAAAAACAATTTCAATCTCTTATGACTGCTCGGCATAAACTACTACCTGAAAATGGTCTATTTTTGTTTATGAATCAAGTGCTCAATAGTCCTTTCAAACCATTACTGAAAAATCCACGAGAAAGATCACCAAATATCCAGAAAGTATTTTTAGTCATGGCTCTTGCAGGGTTCAGGATCCTGGTCCTGAAATTGAATTTGCATTGGCAGACCTTTGTGCTCATGCAGAGTCCTGTGAGCTTCAGTGAGGTTTTAAACATGGGAAAGCCTCCCTCTGTGTGGAGCCAAATGGAGGGAGAGAGCCTTAGCTTGCCCACCAGGGAAGAGTCCTGCACTGGCAAGGATATGGGGTAGAGATGACCTAATATGTAGGATTCTAATTTCCAGAAGTTTAATTGTAAAGATTACACAGACGGAGTGGTACAGGAAGGTTTCACTGAATCAGAGTAGTGGTTTGTGAGTGGTTAGAAAAATCCACTTATGAACTTTTAGAGAAACTGAGCGGTCTCGCAAAATAAAAATTAAGACTTTAGTCCTTACAGATGTGAAGTGGGTGTAAACCAATGCAGTGCTGCCTTGCTAAATCTGCAGCCAGACAGCTCCACTGCCATCTCTGCTGCTTACACCTTCCCCAGTAACAGCAGGGCTCCTTGAAGTTCATTGCAGTTACTCAGATCCTTGAGAACATCAGTGAAATTCACTGTTTTCCACAAATATTCCTTCCAGCAAGCTCTTTTGCTAGAGTATGAAGAAAAATACATCAGAAAGGAGCATTAATGCAACCTAATGGGATTTAACTTTTTGTTTGAGGAAAAACAGATTGTTTTAAGGTATTCACTCAGTCTTAGAGTATGACAGTCAGTTCTCAATCTTTGTCTCTTCTAGAACAAAAAAATACTGCATAAAATCAAATATGACCTTTAATTGCCTCAGCTGAGGAATGACACCTCCTAGCAGTACAGACCATCAATTAATTTAAACCTTTCAAGCACAACATCTAATTCTTCAGACACTGCTACAAAAACCTCCTAGCTCTGGCGCATGGTGTGCATGCACACCCATGATTGGAATATATATAGGCACCGTCACTCGAAGAAGGTAGACTTCTTCATGTGCTAATATTTTCTGTAGGCTAGTTTTAATCTGACTAGTTTTGTAGCTCTATGCAACAAAGAAAGGGATACCATGTCATCAGCTCACTGTGGAAACTGTAACCATACAGATAAAGCAGCTTTCGATACAAGAGGGGAGGAGCAGGGGTCAAAGGGCCTCATTCTACACTTCATTACCCCGTTTTATGCTGATGTAACTCACTTCAGAGGCCAAAATAAAACCAGTGCAATGGAATGGAGAATTAGGCCATTTCTAAACCAGAAATGTTTTGCTGGTATAGCTATGTCCGTATACTGTACCAGCAAAACATTCCTAGCGTGGATGATGTTGTACAAGCAAAACTGCACTTTTACTGGTATAGCTTATTCCATCGCCACCAGCCCCCACCCTGTGAAACAAGATACACTAGCAAAAGCACACTTTTGCTAGTATAACTGCATCTACTCTCTGGGCTTTTGCTGGCACAGCTTCAGGGATTACATCTCATCACATCTCCGACCAACAGAGCTATCCTGGCAGAAATCTGTAGTATAGGGTAGCCTCAGGCTCATATGAACACACAATCAGCATATCTCCAACAACATTAACAATGTAATTTTGTCTCAATGTCACAATGCGGGCTGCTAACTTTTTCACTTACGACCAATAAGTAAATAAAACAAGTAATCATCTTTTAAAGATACCTAATAGAGCAAGCCACATATCAGATATTTTATACCTTTTAAGTGTTGTAAACCAATGACAAACCTGTGCTTTGGGATAACATTCATTCTCATGCTCCTTTTGTTTTAAGGCCACCTCTGACACAGAATTTAAAGTAATATTTATATGAAATCTGACACACAGTATTTTGTACATGCCTCCACACAGAAGTTAAGCACACATGCTTCTCAGAATAGTGCTTATACCAATGCTGCTTATTCACATGAGAGGAAAGAAAAGTTATTGATTTAAACTCCATTAGAGAAAAGGGAGGAGGGAAAACAAAACATAAAATTGTTAATAAATGAAATGTCATT